ATCTTCGCTATATACTGAAGATCACATGGCCGGAAAGAATCACCAACGAGAAACTATGAGAAAACAAACAAAACAAGAACCAATCGCTCAACAAATATGCAGGAGAAAGTGGAGATGGATTGGACACTCACTGAGGAGGCAGCTGGGTGATATCGCGTGTCAGGCCAGTGCTCGAGTGGAACCTGAAAGGGAAGCGGCGAGTGGGACGTCCAAGTGTGACATGGAGGAGATCGTGTGAAGAGGAGCTGAAACAGTATGGACTAACATGGATGTAAGTGAAAAGTACAGCAGAAGACAGAAGCAAGTGGAGACGTGCAGTTGAAGCCCTATATTCCACTAGGAACCCAAGGGAACAATAATAATAATAACATAGCTAATTCTCCGAAGAGACGCTCTTCGCTGATCCACGTGTTTTGTTTTATTGATTTCTCAAATGGATATCTTTTGGTATTATTCCTTTAAGTTCCCCCCAGTGGAATGGGAATATTGTGGGCTTCAAGCTAGAGGCTTTACGAGACGATTTCTTCCCTCTTTACCAATCTTATTATTGACTTATTAGCGAGGTAAAGGAGGAGGAACATGTTGACCACTTCACCTATTTGGGAAGTTGTATCAGCACCAACGGATTGATTGGTGACGAAATCTCAGCACGGATTCAAAAAGCTCGAGCTGCTTTCGCTAACTTACACCATCTCTGGCATAGGCGTGACATCCGGCTGTCAACCAAGGGACGTGTATACTGCTCAGCAGTTCGCTCCGTCCATCTCTATGGCGGTAACACGTGGCCATTGAGAGCGGAAGACATGAAGAGATTGTCTGTTTTTGACCACAGATGTTTACGATCTCTTTCTCGCGTTAGGTGGTATAATAAGGTAAGTAATGTTGATGTTAGGCGTAGAGTGTTGGGCAAAGAGGGAAAATCAATCGACGAGGCTATAAAGTAACATAGATTGAGATGGCTAGGTCACGTGCTGCACATGCCTAACCATCGCCTCCCCCACCTCGACGGGCATTACTAGCTGACATAGGTGCAGGTTGGAAAAGAGTAAGTGGTGGCCAAACAGAAACATGGCCTCATCAATCCATGAAATCCTTGACAGTTAAACTGAGTCAGGTAGGGAGATGCAGACTTCCGGGTTGGGGCCCGCCCTCGAGACTCTAAGAATCAATGGCTGGAGACACTAGGTGACATGGCTCAAAATCGTTGTCAATGGCTTACGCAGATGTATTCAGTCTCTGTAATCTTTCATATTCCTTTCTACCATTACTCATTCTGTTTCACTCTTACACTTGTCAAAACTCTATTGATTCTCTTCACTCATTTTCTTGTCTACCTTTGTGTGCTATTTGGAACGTGGCAAGTCGAACTGCTGCACTTTAGTGCCAATTTCTGCGTTGAATCCCGACAGACATTACAGAAAAAGGATGAACGCATCTTTACCACTGATAATACGATTTTCAGCCCTATAACCTACCAACAGTCTCTTCCTATTAGTCTTCAAGGATCCGCCCCCTCCCCTATAGCCAGGTTAGTCTGTTATATACTTCCTTACTTAACTTAGACCACAATCAGAGCGCTTAAATCAAGTGACTGAATATTTTCGTATCTGATTACAATGAACACTTTTCTAACCACGATCATTTATGGTCTACATAACACTGTTCGACAAGTTGCATTATGGATAAAATTTTATTCTGATAATGTCACACAGTGTTGTTATGCAGTAATATTTACTGATGACCACGTTTAGAGCACAAATTATTACTGCTCATAATCATATCAAGTCACTCACTCACTCACACAACTTTCTTGCTTCATTTATATACATGAGTAAAGAATGATGATTAGACATTCGAATAAAATCATTCTAAGACAAAGTGCATTCAGAAATAATATTATGAGTGTTATCAAACAAATACAATCAGATGGGAAATAAGACGAGTGTTTTTGTATAGTCAAAATAAGTAACTTGTTAGAATGTTATGATGTACGTGAATTGAATTGGAATAGAATTTTGAGATTATTTATTATCCTCCTCTGATTTGACTGACTGGTGGTAATAATATCTTCCATGCATATCTCTGGTATTTACATTGAGTCACTTCTATTGCGCATGTATTGGGTGTGGACTCAATGAGCCAGGATTCAGTAATCAACCTCTCTCGCTCTCCACCAACTTATATTACTTCTTAGAATTTCAACCCTCTCCCACATATCATTGTTTGTTAATGCATGCAGTGCAATCGCTGAGCTTTTTTCTAAATTACTTATCTTCTCGGGGTCAATCATTCTCACCTTAGCTAAATTCTTATGTTCTGATAATCTCACTACTCTCAACCTACTAGTGTGACCTATATATTTGACCACAACTCACAGTCATTGCAAGGTATTTTGTAAATTATATCACTTTGTCTAATTGGGTCAACAGGGTCCTTTAACCTACATAGCTTGTCCCTACCTAAGTGAGTTTGTAGGTTTGAATGCCACTCTCATTCCTGCTTTATTAAGCACCCTACGTCGGAGAGTCTCAGATGTCCCGTCCTTATACGGCAAAGCTGTAGATGCCTTGTATTCTCTCTTATTCATGTTATCATTACTAGTTCCACAATTATTTTTATTTTGCTTTGGCCCTTTTCTGATCTTCCTAATGAATTTTATGGGATAGTTATTTGATACCAACGCCTCTTCTATCTGTTTTATTTAGTCATTTAGGTTTTTTCTTGTACTACCTAGTGCTACTGTTCACTTTGTTAGACAGACACCTAACTAAGCCTGCCTTCACAGAAAGATAACGGATGAGATGAATTAAAGTCTAAATATATATTAGAATGTGTTGGTTTTCTATAAATGCCGTTAGTGTGCAGTTTACCTTCTTCTATTCGTTTTGCATCATCATAGCTAATTCTCCTTGTTCATTTTCCGATTCAGATGTGAATTTTATTCCCTCTACTAGTGAGTTTATATATGTGTGTGAAGAAGCTAGAGAGAGATATGTCCTGTTTCTAACACTGTGAAAGTGTCATCCACATATCTCCACCATATTTTTGGAGTAGGATTAAATGTATTAAGAGCACTATTTTCCTAGCTGTCCATCCATAAATAAATATTTTCTACGATAGGGGATATTAGTGATCCCATTGCTACACCTTCTGCTTGTCTGTATATTTCGCCCTGGAATTTAAAGATAGTAGATGTGAGGCATAACTGAACTCTTAAAATAATTTCCTTAATTGATATTATTCAAATTTTGAATCAATTTTTACTATTGTATATAAATGAAGTAAAAAAAGGTTGTATGAGCAGTTATAATTTGTGCTCGAAACGTGATCATCAGTTAATATTATCGAAATAAAATTTTATCCACACTGATCAAATTTTATCCTTATATCAATTGTTCAATAAGGAATTTCATACGAAAAAGTGATCGCAAGGTTTACACGCTTAAAGTATATCTGAAGAAAACAGTTAGTTTGTACTCCACAGCAGTCCGCTCCGTCCTCCTTTATGTCTGTGAGCGAGACATGGCCATTGAGAGTGGGAGACACAAAAAAGACTGGCTAGTTGTCTTTGATCATAGGTGCCTGAGTACTATCTCCCATGTGTGTCAAGTGGTATAAAAGAGTGAACAATATTGAAGTTACGCCTCAGTCGAGTACTAGGTAAAGAGGGAGGTCGATTAACGAGGTTGTGAAGTTACAACGGTTGAGAGGGTTAGGATATATGTTAGTCATGCCTAGTCATCGTCTTCAACGACGGTCAGCATCAACTGACATAGGATGGATCAGGTTGGAAAAAAGCTAGCTAGTGGTGGTCAAACCAAAACATGGCTTCATCAGTCAATGAAATCCACAACAGCTAGTTTAAGCCAGCCAGCCATGTAGGAAGATGTAGACTTCCTGGATGGGATTCTCACGACGGTAAAAAAAACAGCGGCTGGAGACAATCGGTGATATGGCTCAAAATCGTCGTTCTCAATGGCTGTCACAGTTGCACCCACTCCTTGTGACTTACAATACCCCGGAGAACTATATTGTTCTTCGATATTACTATTCCTTTTGTCTCATATCTCTGTTTACTGTCTTTGTTGTGCATTTCTTTTCACTTTCTTCTCTTGCTTTGTGTGCTACAAGGAGGGAGTGTGGCGACTCGAATTACTGCACATCGGTGCAAAGCAGTTCTATGTTGAAACCAGTCAGTCAATCAATCGATTAGATGGATAAAATAGTGTCATAGATCTTTCAAGACTTATTAACTAAATGTACGCTAACCCTCTTGACCTACTGCTCCCCCACCCCACACTCCCCTGACAGTTAAACTGAGTCAGGTAGGGAGATGCAGACTACCGGGTTGGGGCCGTCGGGACTCTAAGAATCAATCAATGGCTGGAGACAATAGGTGACATGGCTCAAAATCGTTGTCAATTGCTTACGCAGATGTATTCAGTCTCTGTAATATTCAGTCTCATATTCCTTTCTACCATTACTCATTCTGTTTCACTCTTATACTTGTCAAAACTCGATCGATTCTCTTAACTCTCATCTTCTTGTCTACCTTTGTGTGCTATTTGGAAGGTGGCAACTCGAACTGCTGCACTTCGGTGGCAAGTTCTATGTTGAATCCAGCAGCAGCAGCTCTCATAGACAGATATTAAGAGAAACACACACACACTGAAGAGAAGTGAAAGGCATAGAAGCAGAATTTAAAAAATATATAAATTCATATATTCTATTTCATTTCTAATATATCGTGTCAATAATAAAGAGAATCATCAGTTGAAGAAGACTTATTTTTATTTTTTGCCTACAAAACACAAAAGACTGATCATCACAACAAAGACTAAATGAGATATATATTTTAATAAAAAGTCTGTATAAAAAAAAGAAACGGTAAAATACAATTTAATTATTCTCACAGCCATTAACACACACACACACAAACACGTGTGCACACACACAATTAGAAGTGGATTCACACACATACGCGAATAAAGTTACTCACAAAGACACACACATACAGGTACACACACACGCACACACAGACAATGTACGTCAACCAATAAAAATACGAATAGAAAAAAAGACAAATAAACCTTGTAGGATATGAGTCACAAAACAGACAGATTGATGTGTGTGTGTGCGTTCGTGTGTAGGTGGAGTGGGGATTCGAACCCAAGATCTGTTGGTTATCCACAGAAAAACCACCCACATCCCACAAACCACACACACACACACAAAACCTTGGCATATTATTATAGAAAGAAAAATCTAAGGAATGTTAAATCAATAGAAATAATAAGAAAGTTATTTTTTTAAGAAAAAAATAATAATAACTAACAACTGTTAATATACGCGCACTTATTTTATCAATAAAATTGAATGAATAAATCCATTGATCCATCCCGCCATTTTGAATTTGTCTGTAACTCTTGACTGGAACAACATGGACAACTGGTGAATGCATTACACCAACGTGATGTACACTTAGCACAAAATTTATGCTGGACAAATAAATAGTCGAAAGAAAAAAGAGAGAAATAAAACATAGTTTTATGAAGTAAAACCCGTTCAATAAAAGCGGAATTTAATTAAATCATTTGCCACCCGCATCCGACGCATCTACAGTACCAACGCTCTGGAAAGAGAATTAGATATTCTAAGAGAAATTTTCATCCAAAATGGATACGCGTTAAGATTCATCGACAAAAATATCAAACCAAGAGTTGGGAGAAATGAAACTATAATTGCGCCGAAAAAGAAACTCTACATGAACTTGGATTTCAAGGGAGATTTAGCAAGCGATATTCTCAAGAGAAGGATCACATCATCTCTGAGAAGAACATTCTTTGCAGCAACGCTAAGAATAGTGTTCTCCAATCGCCCACTGATCTGCAGAAGCCTCAAGGACAAGATCCCGCATCTGACCACTTCTGTGTGTATTTAATCAGTTTGCCTGCTGCTGTGGAGCCAGGTATATCGATCGTTTGACGCGCACCCTGTCCAAGAGGATTAAAGAACACTATCCAGCATGATTGCGAAAAGGCAATAGTGGTGCAATAAGGAGTGCGATAATTGAACATCTGGTTAACACTGATCATTCCATTTCAACAAACGCCTCCTTCAAAGTAATCTACAGAGTCAAGAATAACCTATCGAAGGTAATGCGGTTTCGCCTTCTTTGTATCGCTGAAGCTCTGGCCATTCGCATAGATAAACCGGAACTGTGCATACAAAAAAGGATTCCTCAACTACTTCTACTGTCTTGGTGACAGCTTTTTAATCTGATTTGATTTTTTTGATTTTGATGACTTAATTCTGTTTCTTTGCCTGTTCTTTAATTGCTTATAATTCTTGTATGAATTTAGAACTCTTACGTAATTTCGTATTATCTACTTTGTTCCTACGTGCATCCAGAGTAAGACTCACTCATTAAACTATTCATATTATTGCATAACTTCTTTTAACAACTAGTTGTGACAACTTATCACCTTTGTTACTACCCTAGTTTCACTAACACCTAATTTTCTTGACTGATTTCGAATCACGTAATGCCAATCACCAATCTTCACCTGTTTAGTTTAAATAACTATAACCAATTGTATTTTTGTTTGACAAACACATACACACAAAATAACACACATATATTTGCGATTGTACAGCTAAGAAAATGAATTCACCGAAGAGACGCTCTTCGCTGATCCACGTGTTTTGTTTTATTGATTTCTCAAATGGATATCTTTTGGTATTATTCCTTTAAGTTCCCCCCAGTGGAATGGGAATATTGTGGGCTTCAAGCTAGAGGCTTTACGAGACGATTTCTTCCCTCTTTACCAATCTTATTATTGACTTATTAGCGAGGTAAAGGAGGAGGAACATGTTGACCACTTCACCTATTTGGGAAGTTGTATCAGCACCAACGGATTGATTGGTGACGAAATCTCAGCACGGATTCAAAAAGCTCGAGCTGCTTTCGCTAACTTACACCATCTCTGGCATAGGCGTGACATCCGGCTGTCAACCAAGGGACGTGTATACTGCTCAGCAGTTCGCTCCGTCCATCTCTATGGCGGTAACACGTGGCCATTGAGAGCGGAAGACATGAAGAGATTGTCTGTTTTTGACCACAGATGTTTACGATCTCTTTCTCGCGTTAGGTGGTATAATAAGGTAAGTAATGTTGACGTTAGGCGTAGAGTGTTGGGCAAAGAGGGAAAATCACTCGAAGAGGCTATTAAGTTACATACATTAAGATGGTTAGGTCACGTGCTGCGCATGCCTAACCATCGCCTTCCCCGACAGACGGGCATTACTAGCTGATATAGGTGTTGTGGGTTGGAAAAGAGTAAGTGGTGGCCAAACAAAAACATGGCATCAATCCATGAAATCCCTGATAGTTAAACTGAGTCAGGTAGGGAGGGAGATGCAGACTTCCGGGTTGGGGCCCGCCCTCGGGACTCTAAGAATCAATGGCTGGAGACAACAGGTGACATGGCTCAAAATCGTTGTCAATGGCGCAGATGTACTCAGTCTCTTTAACCTTCATATTCCTTTCTACCATTACTCATTCTGTTTCACTCTTATACTTATCTAAATTCTACTAATTCTGCTCTCTCATTTTCCTGTCTACCTTTGTGTGCTATTTGGAATGTGGCAACTCGAACTGCTGCACTTCGGTGGCAAGTTCTATTTTGAATCCAGCAGCAGCAGAGGTAAAGGAGGAGTGCGTGTCTGTGGCCGAGGATCGAACCTCAAACCACATGAGTGGTCAGCGAGCATTCTACCGTTGTGACACCGACAACACACACAAAGGTCACATCCCCGGTAGAATTGATTTTAAGTTAGATTATAAACAATCACTAAACACTGGATTAGCCGCCTTCACAGCTAGTTTGGAACTACTCAACATTACTCACCCATGAGCCGAAAAGGAAATCGAACTCAGTACCCTCAGGTTACGAGATGAGTGCAGTGACCATTCAGTTAATGAGAGAATTTAAAATGGCTCATGAATCCTAAATTCTGATCATATGTGCCTGCGTTCTATCTCCCGTGTGTGTCAAGTGGTATAATAGGGTGAGCAATATTCAGGTTAGGTCTCAGTCGAGTACTAGGTAAAGAGAGGAAATCAACCGACGAGGCTGTGAAGCTACATCGGTTGATAGGGTTAGGATATGTGTTAAGCATCACACAACATATGCAGCGCAACAACCCCGCCACTAGTCAATACCTGTTCTCACACATACATACACACACAAACACTGGTAACGACTTCTTAGTGGAACCCTGGATATTCCATTCAGTAGTCGGTCAGTAGTCAGTATTCGATTAATTTTAAACTGGTGATCAACGGTATTTTCTAGTTTCCAACTGCTCTTTATTTCCAAGTAGAATAAATGAAGTCTCTGTCTACGTCTGGATTCAACATAAAACTTGGCACCGAAGTGCAGCAGTTCGAGTTGCCACCTTCCAAATAGCACACAAAGGTAGACAAGAAGATGAGAGTTAAGAGAATCGATCGAGTTTTGACAAGTATAAGAGTGAAACAGAATGAGTAATGGTAGAAAGGAATATGAGACTGAAGATTACAGAGACTGAATACATCTGCGCCAGCCACTGACAACGATTTTGAGCCATGTCACCTATTGTCTCCAGCCATTGATTCTTAGAGTCCCGAGGACGGGCCTCAACCCGGAAGTCTGCATCTCCTCCCTACCTGACTCAGTTTAACTGTCAAGGACTTCATGGATTGATGCCATGTTTTTGTTTGGCCACCACTTACTCTTCTCCAAACTACCACCTAGAAAAAATGAAGGATTCACGAAGGAGCATATCACTGAAGATGACAGATACGGGGAGACTATAAACATCAATTAGAACAAGATAGAGGCGCTAGTTGTATTATATTCCAGGGTGCCAACTACATATCCTGTCAGGAAAGTATCGGTCACAAGTATAAATTTGTGAGTAGGAAAAATAGAGAAAAGAATGTTCTCGTCATGACTAGGCAACTGAATAAACATCGTTTGTCTGTTTGTTTGTTTTTAACCCTCAGTTGTTTGTTATCCAGTCCTATTAGGTTATTATTTACAGTCACAAAATGATTCAGTTATTATTATTGTTCCCTTGGGTTCCTAATGGAACATAGGGCTTCAACTACACGTCTCCACTTGCTTCTGTCTTCTGCTGTACTTTTCACTTGCATCCATGTTAATCCATACTGTTTCAGTTCCTCTTCACACGATCTCCTCCATGTCACCCTTGCACTGACGTCCCACTCGCCGCTTCCCTTTCGGGTTCCACTCGAGCAATGACCTGACGCGCGATGTCACCCAGCGGCCTCCTCAGCGAGTGTCCAATGCATCTCCACTTCCTCCTACATATTTGTTGGGCGATTGGTTCCTGTTTTGTTTCTTCCAATAGTTTCTTGTTGGTGATTCTTTCCGATGGCCATCTGATCTTGAGTATAGAGCGAAGACAGCTGTTGTTGATAAAGGTCTGCAACAGGCTGTTGGAAATATTCTTTGTGACCCGCCAAGTTTCTGATCCATCCGTATAGAAGAACTGACTGACTTGACGTTTGTATTGAAAATCCAAATCTTGTTGTTGAGTGTTGCTGAGTGACGAGGATTTCCAGATTGGTTTCAAGTTGATGAATGTGTTTCTCGCCTTTCTGATTCTCGACTCGACATTCTCGTCCGTTCCTCCCGTAGTTGAGACAATGCTTCCTAGATAAGTGAATGAAGTAACCTCTTTCAAATCCCTCCCGTTGAACTAGAGAAAACTTAAGTAAAATATGATATATATATATATATATACATAGTTCTCATAACTCAGAAGTTTTGGTGTTTGATGAATTCGCGTCTTAATGCTAAGTACTCACATACTGTAATGATATAACTATATTCGACTGACATCTATCCTATAAGTTCGACCCAGATATGCACGTTCAACTTTTTTAATGATAACAACTATCTAGTACACAACATTTGAGAGAATGAAACAGAAGTTCTTTCCACGGAAGGTGATGTTATCTACACTATTATTATTATATTATTGTCTCCCTTAGGTCTTAGAGGAATATAGGGATTCAGTCGCGCACGTTTCCATTGCATCCGGTTCTCCGACAACGTTTCCATTACCTGGCTCCAAGTCTGTCCATATGCTTTCATCTCCTCCTCGCATGACATCTTCCTCCATGTCACTCTGACACTGACGACCAGCTCGCCGCTTCCCATTCGGGTTCCAATTGGGAGAGAGCCTGACGTGTGTTACTCACTTGATGGTTTTCTCAGAGTATGGCCAATCCAATCCACCTCCATTTCTTCCTGCATATTTCTTACACAATTGGTTCCTGCTGAGTTGGTTCGCTTCCAGAGATCCCTGTTGCTGATCTTTTCTAGCAGGCCATCTGATCTTAAGCGAAGTATTGAGCGAAAATATCTCTTGGTGAAGGTCTTCAGTTTGTTCGAAGTGTCCTTCGTGATGCGGCGCCAAGTCTCTGATCCATACGTGTAGTAAGTAGCACTGACTTCACATAGGAGTTGAAAATCCGGTTCTTATTTTCATTTTCATGCTGACTTAGTCAGTCATGTTGACCTCCACACAGACTTGAGAGAAATGAAAGCTTGCCTTCCCAATCCTTGCTTTGATATGCTCATCAGTTCCGTCCGCCTGTAGTTGAAACGATGCTTCCTAGGTCGGTGGGTAGGTAAAGGAGGTTACTTCTTTCAGATTTCTCCCATTTTCGCTAATTGTTGTTGCTGTTGGTGGTGTTGCCCAGGAATCTTCATCACGCACCTCTGTTTTCTCTATGTTCATCTGAAGTTCTTCCTATCTTTGATGCTTCTTCTGCCAACTTGTTGCCTTTCACTTGCATATCTTTCAGTTTGTTGGAAATCAGACATATGTCATCATCAGCGAAGTTCAGGCCCTTCAAGTTGCTTTGTGCGGATCCATTTTATGCTCTGTCTCCGCGTTGCCTGCTGCCTGTCTATCGCATTCTTCGAGTCTACCAGCCGTAATCAGGAAAATCATTACAGATAGTAGGCTCTATAAATCATTTCTTCTTACTTAAATAACTGAGTATAAGAATGCAGCACATATAGAAGAGAAACCACTGGATGTATAGATGTATGTATGTTTGAGTGTGTGCGTGTGTGATATCCTACTCGATGACTGGCAGTTGATAACATACATTATTAACAGAACATCGATTGATAAACAAAATGAAAGTGTTCATGATTGAGTTTTATTTGGAATTATGGATTTATACTAATGATTATTCAAAATTAGAAAAGAAAAAAAACATTGATGAAACTGTTTACTGTCATCTGTGGAGATGTATGATTCAATAGCTTACGCTTAAACTTATAATAGAACAAGACATATAACAGGCGAACAATATTGTTGTTTTCAATTAGATCTTCTTCACTTCAGGCTTCACTCTAATTCACATAGATTTATATATATAACAATTTTAACCAATGACGCTGATTTTATGGACCAAATAATAATAACACTAGTAATAATAGTAATAACAATGTGGTAAATGTTTTGAACGTCATTAATAACGATGATTACAATGATAAAAAAATATTGATAATCGGGTTTATGCAGATGGCGATAAGAATAACAAAGGTAGCAATACATGTATATGTAGACAATTCAATGAATAAATAAATTAGGTCAAATCCTAAAAGTTACGTTATACTAAAAGTGAAGTGAACAGATAATCAGAGTTTCAATAAATGTCATAAAAGTACAAAGGAAATGGAGAATAAGAAGGGGTGGGTGGTTTCGAATTAGACTTTACCTAGACTAAGCAAGGGAGAGACAAAGGTAGAACAAACTTCTTTTGTTGCATGCAAAGAATAGGATTGTCCTCTCAAATTAATTCCCTTAGCTTTGCCTATGTGTGAAAGACGAGTTCGAATTCTGTTCCAAAGGTTCGATGTGGAATGGGACAGATAACATTGAAGGCACTTCTTCTTCTATCCCCTTGGTGACCGCTATCAATCAAATGAGCCAAAATAGAACTTCTTATAGATTCTATTGCACCTTTTCCGAACCATGAAGGAAGATGCTCATTAATGCGTTTGTTAAGCTGTCTAGTTGTTCGCCCTTTATAGCTAGCCCTCTCCACAGGAGTAACTAAATTTGCAGATGCACACAGAAGTGGCACAGCATACACCTTATTATCAATATTTTGTTATTAGAATTGAATTGGTGGATGGTGACTAGCAGTGGTATCCAGGATAAAGCGCATTTCGTCCTATTTGATACTAGTCCACCAACTGGATGTACCTGCATTCCCCAGTGAGCGATGATTTTCCCACCGACGCTCAAAACCAGTGCCCACAGTATCAAACGCCACCCTTTGTTTATCATTTTCCAGCCGACCAATTTAAGATTGCTCAAATGAAAGATAAGCTACCTAGCTGTGCCACTTCTATGTGTAGCTATAAATTTAGTTGCTCCTGTGGATAGAGCTATATGGGGCGAACAACTAGACAGCTCAACAAACGCATTAATGAGCATCTTCCTTTATGGTTCGGAAAGGGTGAAATAAAATCTGTAAGAAGTTCTATTTTCGCTCATTTGATAGAAGAAGTACCTCCAAAGTTATAGGTCGCATTCCATCGAGCCTTTCGAACGGAATTCGAACTCGTCTTTTACACATAGTCGAAGCTATGGGAATTAAATCCAGAGAACAATCCTAGTACCTTTGCATACAACAAAAGTAGTTTGTTCTACCTTTGTCTCTCCCTTGCTTAGTCTAGGTGAATTCTATTCAAAACCCTCCCACCCTTTCCATCTCCTTCGTACTTTTATGATATTTACTTAAACTCTGATTATCTGTCCACTTCACCTTTATTCAGTATTATGTAACTTTTAAGATTTAACCTTATTTATGTATTTATTGAATTGTCTACATATACACATATTACTACCTTTGTTATTCTTATCACCACGTGCATAAACCTTATTATCAATTTACACATATATTAATTATATATTAATTATATATATATATATATATATATATATATAAATTATTTTTTTATCATTATAATCATCGTTATTAACGATGTTCAAAACATTTACCGCATTATTATTATTTGATCAACAAAATCACCGTCATTGGTTAAAATTGTTATATATAAATCTACGTAAATTAGAGTAAAGCCTGAAGATCTAATTGAAAACAACAATATTGTTCGCTATTATATGTCTTGTTCTAATATTAATAATGGGAATTCATTATAAATTATTTAAATTAATCCCAGCGTGTTAAAAACAATCAAAACAAGATCTGTTTTCTGAACGATTCGCTGTGTAAGCCCCAGCTTCTTCAGCAGATTTATTCGGATTTTTATTAATCATCAAAATATATAGTCAAAATTCTTTTTACATAAATTGAAGTCAGTTTATTTGAAGGTCACTTGTCCATGGACCTTTTATTTACCTATAGAAATATGTAAGCAGTCATCACATATATTTGTAATGACTAATGTCAAATAAACTGACTTCAATTTACGTAAAAAATTTTTGATGATTAATAAAAATCCGAATAAATCTGCTGAAGAAGCTGGGGCTTACATAGCGAATCGTTCAGAAAACAGATCTTGTTTTGATTTTCTTAACACGCTGGGATTAATTTAAATAATTTATAATGAATCAATCTGACTCGGCGCTCAAATTATTCCAGGAAGTTCGTAACACCTACGGCCTAGAAACCTATAATAATGGGAATATACAAAGATTCAAACTAATACATCCAAGGTTTGAACCCAAACTCCCATTACTTCAACAACTTGAGTGACTGATGACTGACATCAGAGTTGTAGTATGGATTACAACAATTCCAGTGCAACAAACAAAGATCAGTAAAATGAAGTAAAAGAAAGAAAGCAAAAAAGAAAAACAAAAACGCATGCACTTACACCGCACGGGAGAACACCAACAATACTGTATAGTTCAAGGCACATATAACAAACTTCATTCGATGGTGTATTTGATTCGATTGTATACGGCTGAAAACAATGAGAACAAAATATTGTGTAACAAACTCCAAGACATATAAATATATAAAATGGAAATGTGAGAGAGAATAACTGCCTTGCTATGAAAATCTCGTTAGCAAGACACTATTAAAAGCTTATATGTACATTCTCATTGAGGAGCTTAAGATTATTAGAGAATTACTTAGAAAAAACGGTTATCCAGATAAATTTATTGAGAACAATATGAATTCAGTACCAAGGAGAGCCAGTATTGCTACAGTTTCGAAAAAGCCAATGTTAATAAAATTGCAGTTCCTCGGTGACAACATCAGCGAAATCATAACACAGTGCTTGAAGAATGCAGTTAAAAGAGCTTATTATGCAGCAGAAGTACGTTGTCTCTTCAAAACCACCCCTATTCTAAGGATAAACTACCTAAATTTGCCTCTTCTATGTGTGTCTACCAGTTTGACTGCAGCTGTGGAGCTAGCTACATTGGGCGTACAATTAGGCAGTTTCATCGTCGTATTTCTGAACATCATCCAGCGTGTTTAAGCAAGGGACAAATAAAATCTATTCGCAGTTCTATTTTAGCACACCTTGTTGATAATGAGCACAAGGTTGATGTGAATACTGCATTTAAAATTATTTATCGCATTCCGACTAATCTTAACTTTGCTCTACGAGTTCGTCTTCTACAGACAGCAGAAGCAATTGGAATCCACCAAAAGAAACCAAGCCTATGTGTACAGAAGAAATTTGTGCAGCCACTTTCCTTACCGTGGCCATCCTTACAAGACAGGACTACGTCGCCCCCCTCCCCTATTAAATTATAATTGTCCAAATTATTTTATTTTTATTTTGACCACTTCATCTTCAATTACGTGTTATCCTTGTAAAATTAATTTATTCTATCCATTTCTACTTTTTAAACGTGTATTGATTTTCTGCGTTAATTATCAATCCATTGACATTTTGACACTGTTTAATTATTGTTAAAAAACATATCACCAATTGTTTGGTAAACTGTTGTGTATTGTAATAAAAATGCTATACATATTAGAGTAGAGCCAGAGAAGAGGATCTAATTGAAAAGTAAATATTTCTTCGCTCAATCTTTCTGCATTCCTAATGTGACTGCGTAAATATGTGGTGAGAGCTGTCTGCAAGGCAAAATTCCTAGACAGCAATTTACGTCAATGTTTACGTCCCGAATCCGGGTCATGAGAAAAAAACAAGAACAAAGTCAAACTTTCAGGATCCCACCAACCAATCACAGCAAACTTAGCGTGGGCGGATACGATTAACAGATATATCACCGGACTGTCTAAGAAACCACAACAAGTAGATGACAGAATAGCCTTCTAGCGAGAAAACAACCAATAAAAAGACGTTGCTTCTCTGCAACGTCGAATAATAATTTCAACGAAAATCTATAAATATCTCTTGGTTTTCTTAATAAACGATCTATTGTCTGGCCCTTGTCTTCTGTGTTGTTACAATTTTACTATTTTGAGTTTCAAGTGGAACATAAGGCTTCAGACTTGAGCTTTAACGTTTCAGTAACAGTGTCTTTTTATTTTTACGGGAAGTTCCTGGCCTCACGTCCAGCCTTCCCTCTTTAATGGATTTAATACCTGCGCTTAGCAAGGTTTAAGAGTGGCATCGACCGAGGACCGAAGCCCAGACCACATAGATGGTCACAGGCGAGAACTCTATAACTGTACACCACCGATGCACCCAGTGCCTGAGTATAAAGAAACACAATAACACCAGAAAACTACAAGTTAAAGTAGAAAGTAAATCAGTATCATGACCTTATATAGGGATCAGAAATCCTCAGAATGCTCATTTATAACATGTGACGCTTGAAGGCCAAGTTGAATTGTTACTGGTGGATAGACGTGTAAACGTAGTCGAATGTTTTCTATCTAATGCTACCTGTGCGACTCACCACCTTAAGGCAACACTGATTGTACAAAAGAAATACTACGGTAGGAAAGGGGAGTTGGTTGACGAGGTTATAGTGTCAACAACTCGAGTGTCTATGAAATATGTTAAGCATACCAAACACAATCATCTTCCTGGGTGAATAATATCGACAGAAGGTTAGCTTGGAGAAGAGTTAGTGGGTAGCCAGAGTAAAGCATGGCACCTATCCATGAAGTCAAAGACTGTTAGTCTGGAACCATGCAACCGGATAAAAACTACCTACTGTTAAGAATCGGTGATTAGGGGACTCTTGGGAAAACTGTACAAAAATGCAGAAGAATACCAGCCTAATAATAGTACATTATGATTGATCAATATAATGGCCACTATTACTGATGTATGACTTCGTTACTTTGACAAAAAATCGCATGCGCCACGTTATAAGTAACAATAGCTGAAGTTCCAATGTAGAGAATTAGAATTATCTCTGAACGAGAACTATTCCTATTAGTGCGGTTTTGTTCTCTGAACTAGATGGTTTGGTTGCGAAGCTTCGGCTGTCTTCCTAGATAACATATTCAGTACAAACTTCGATTTCAAATGAGCCTTTAAAATATTCCATGAGTTTATCAGCCATCTCTTCTAGTAACCTTGAATTGACTAGGTTTTTCTGGAGATTTTATTAACCTCTGCATCCACCTGTATTGGTGGTATTGATTATTCTGTTGACCTGAAAGTTTATCTTTTATCTATGTAACCTCGTTTTTATTGATTGATAAATCTCATTTATGTCAGTGTATGTGCATTGCACAAAGCTTCCAGAAATTCCTGAGCATTTTCGGGGTTTCCTTTGGAAAAAGATATTTACATTCTCTCAGCCGAAATCGGTGCCCCTGGTTGTCTGCATGCATTGATATGAAAGAGGGGGCGGATATAATGTCTTTTAACAGCCAGTCTACGATCGTCAATGAGCAGGGCGCCTCTACTTTGCTCGACATGGTATTTTCCTCAGCTGTTGCAATTTATCTTGTAGGTGATTTTAGATTTAGGAACGCAGTATTCAGAGAGGAGACTCGCTTTAACAACGAATTTATTATCAAGCTGTACAATTGGATATATAGGGTTTTTAAGAAGTTATATCCGGTGAGGTAATTAGATTGAACGTGTGAATACATGAAATAATAATAATAATAATAATAATAATAATAATAGTAGTATGAAATGCAATTAAAATATTTGTGATTATAATCATAGTTAAATGTCAAGTACCAAAACAATCAATCTCATATGTAGAATAATACATAGGGTGTATAGATTTTGGAAAGGGGTACATAATTATGAGATTAGTAGGCGAATATAAAATTTTACGTGACATGGTGTGAAATTTGATAAGATAGAATTCACTATTGTAGAAATTTTTGAATTTAGAATGACAAGTCGGACAAGCGGAAACAATTCAAAGTTAGGAAAAGGTATATAGAATAACTAAGTAATTTAAATAAATAAATATGTCTATCCTTCTACGGCCAAGGCAGAAGTAGGGATTGTACACAAAGGTCTGACTGGCTTAAATTCATGAATGACCAAGGCCTCCGCTGTCTTTACAAGTTTGCAACGAAGAAAACGCGGCAAGTTAGTTAGCATGGATTCGATAGATGATCTTAAAATCATGGTCAGGGTTGATAGAGTGACAGGAGTCGATCAAGTGTTTTCTAGAATAGAGCTTCCTTGTAAAACCATGCAGCTGGAATATGTTCTCCTATCCGTGTGGAAAGTGGCGTTCTCTGGCTACGATCAATGTACCTTGCTCCACAAGAGGAGCAGGCGAACTGTAATTGTACACCCCTTCCCAACATCTATACATACTATGAATTATTCTATATATAACACTAATAGTTTTGCCACTTGACATTTAACTATGATTATAATCACAAACATTTTAATTGCATTTCATACTACTATTAATTATTATTTCATGTATTTACACCTTTGACTGAGTGCCCTCACCGGATATAATTTCTTGAAAACCATATGTATACACGATTGTACAGCTTGATAATAAATTCGTTGTTGAAGCGAGTCTCTTCTCTGAATATACAATGGGAATTATTAGATTTTTAGTTTTGTCTTCTTTCGCTATCGCGTTTACACCCATAGAATATTTTTTTTGTTAAGACTGACTTTTCCATTCATGATATGGGAAAATTTCACACATTTAAAACTAAATGTATACGCTACATGAAACAGAAATCTTACCTTAGCGTTTACTGTAGAACGGAAAAATTGAAGAGCATCTTTACACGCGTAGAAAACAACACAGATCTAAAATAAAAAAGAATAGAGAAAGAGAATGCACACATTTAGATGCTATTTAGATGCAGATGATATAGTCCTGCCTCCTAGGTGAAGACGCTGACAAAACCAAGCAGAGTCTTCTGAACACCTTAAGCTGCAATCTACGAATGTTTGGCATACGATTCGCTCCCGCCAAATGTAAGATGACGCTACAGGACTGGACTACGCTGACTCCTAGTTTAGAAATAGGAAGTGAAGTGGTAGAGCGAGTTGACCGCTTCACTTATTTGGGAAGTTGCATCAACCAACGCAACGGGTTGATCGCTGACGAAATCTAAGCACGGATACAGAGGGCTAGTTTCGCATATGCCAGTTTACGCCGTCTCTGGTGTAGACGTGATATCCGGCTGGCTATCGACCAAAGGGTGGGTGTACTGCTCAGCAGTCTGCTCCGTCCTCCTTTATGGCTGTGAACGAGACCTGGCCATTGAGAGTGGAAGACATAAAAAGACTGGCTAGCTGTCTTTGATCATAGGTGCCTGTGTTCTATCTCCCATGTGTGTGAAGTGGTATAATAGGGTGAGCAATATTCAGGTTAGGCATTGGTCGAGTACTAGGTAAGGAAGGGAAGTCCATCAACGAGGTTGTGAAGTTACATCGGTTGAGATGGTTAGGACATGTGTTGGTCATGCCTAGTCATCGCCTTCCTCGATGACGGGCAATGTTAGCTGACATAAGGTCAGGCTGGAAAAGAGCTAGCTAGTGGTGGTCAAACCAAAACATGGTTCATCAGTCAATGAAATCCACAACAGTTAGTTTGAGCCACGTAAGAAGGTGTAGACTTCCTGGTTGGGGTCCTCGGGACGGTAAAAACCAATGGCGGCTGGAGACGATTGGTGATATGGCTCAAAATCGTCGTTCTCAATGGCTGTCGCAGATGCATCCACTCCTTGTGACTTATAATTTCTAATGAAACTATTGTTCTTCGTTATTACTATCCCTTTTGTCTCATATCTCTGTCTACTATTTCTATTTTGCATTCCTTTTTACTTACTTCTCTTGCTTTGTGTGCTACATGGAGGGAGTGTAGCGACTTGAACTGCTGCACATCGGTGCAAAGTTCTATGTCGAAAACAGACAGACAGATGCTATTTCATTGTATCCAACATATTTAAGTTATTTTAATCGTCATGCATTATAGCTTTGCTGCTCTTGACAGAGTCAAGTAAACCTAGGTATTACAAAAAAGCATAATAATACACAACAGAAGCAATCAACAACAGCTCACATAGATACATGAATATAACTAACTGGGCAGAAATAAATTCAATAATAAGTAATCAATTTGCTCGTTCAACACATCAAGTTCAACCAAGTAGCCTACCAAGTCTGCCTGTCTGTTTTTAACATAGAACTTTGCACCGATTAGCAGCAGTTCAAGTCGCCACACTCCCTTCTTGCAGCACACAAAGCAAGAGAAGAAATGCAAAATAGAAACAGTAGATAGAGATATGAGACAAAAGGAATAGTAATAACGAAGAACAATATAGTTTCACTGGGTATTAAAAGTCACAAAGAGTGGATCCATCTGCGACAACGACGATTTTGAGCAATATCACCAATTGTCTCTAGCCTTTATTGGCTTTTACTGTCCCGAGGACCCAAACCAGGAAGTCTACACCTTCCTACATGGCTGGCTTAAATTGACTGTTGTGGATTTCATTGACTGGTGCCATGTGTTTGGATTGACCACTAGCTAGCTCTTTTCCAGCCCGACCCTATGTCAGCTAACATTGCCCGTCATCAAGGAAGACGATGACTAGACATGACCAACACATGTCCTAACCATCTCAACTGATGTAGCTTCACAACCTCGTTGATCGACTTCCCCTCCTTACCTAGCACTCGACCAATGCCTAACCTGAATATTTCTCACCCTATTATACCACTTGGCACACACGGGAGATAGAACACAGGCACCTATGATCAAAAACAGCTAATCTTTTCATGTCTTCCACTCTCAATGGCCATGTCTCGCTCGTGGCCATAAAGGAGGACGAGCGGGTTGCTGTGCAGTACACACGCTCTTTGGTCGATAGTCAGATATCCTTTTACAAGTTAGAACCAACGATACTGTTTTGTAAATGGTATCGAAAGCTATGCAATGAAACCATCCAGTTGAAAGAATACAACAGCAGAAACATTCACCAGATTTACAAAACAATGTTTGTTTCCATGTTTGTCTATGACCTATTGGGGGTGGGGGGAGGGTGGTCAAATACTAAAACTTATTCTTAAATAGTTTAACGGATGGAGATGCAGACTACCGGGTTGGGGCCCTCGGGACTCTAAGAATCAATGGCTGGAGACAATAGGCGACATGGCTCAAAATCGTTGTCAATGGCTTACGCAGATGTATTCAGTCTCTGTAATCTTTCATATTCCTTTCTACCATTACTCATTCTGTTTCACTCTTATACTTGTTAAAACTCTATTGATTCTCTTCACTCTTCTTCTTGTCTTGTCTACCTTTGTGTGCTATTTGGAACGTGGCAACTCGAACTGCTGCACTTCGGTGCCAAGTTCTATGTTGAATCCAGACAGACAGTTTAACGGATGAAAAGTGATTTTTTTAATGTGTTGAAATAAAATAGTCAACTGAAACTTCTACAGATGACTAACATCTAACAATTAGGGGTGGGAAGCACAACTCACAGTCTACAGTTGTTACTATTTAAAAAGGCACAGCTATATAGAAGAATGAACATTAAGGGTATAAAAAATGAGATAGTAAAAGCTTATGAAATGAGAATAAACAACAAAAAGTATATCATCGGAGGGCCAAGTTAAACTTTATTCGTCACGAACTACCAATCAGCGAATGATCTTGAATGATCCAATGAAGGTTCTATTCCGCTTGATTTGAGTCAAATGCCTGCTCTACCACAGTTGCGCTTGCAGTTAAGTTAGGATAAGGTTTTCCAGTATTGCTTGGATGTGGCGTCACTTGGGAAGGAAAGGATTCGCTCATGTGGAAGTGTCATGAGTGTAAAAAGCTTCAGCAGGTTGATTGATCGACATGTGCATCGTTGTGCGATTTGTTTGAGACCAATTAGAGTCAGGGAAGGTAAGCTGATGATTCTAAAATTTTGTAGGAACGCGTTTTGCCAGATCCCATCTGTCCTTAACTCAGATTTTGTATATTTGTAATTACTGGGTTTTAAAACAGCCTGTGAGAGGTGCAGCTGCTGAAACTAAAAATTGTCTCGTATCAACAATTTAGTGGTACCAGTGTGGTGAGAGCTGACTGCTAGCCAAATTTGGTAGACAGTAATTGACGTCAATGTTTATGTCCCCAATATTGGTGGTGAGAAAATGAGAACAAAGGCTTTGCGTAGGCCGATACAGTTAGCATATGGATGATCTGACACAGCCACAAAGAGATGCAAGGTTAACTTTCTGTAAGAAACAACCAATCAAAAGACTGTATTTTCTACTAACAATAATCTATAATAATGTACATTAAAATCTATAAATATGTGTTGATTTTCCTTAATATATGATCTGTTGCCTGGACCTTGTCTTCTGTTGTTACACCAGCACTGCAGGGATTTCACATCTTGGATAATGGAGAGGCTTACTTCCTTATTGGGAGGTGCCGTCATACATGTGGATGAAACTGTCTTATTAAAGAAAAAACACAACCGTGGTCGAGAACGAGTGAATAATATTTGGGTGATTGGTTTATGTATTACCTCTCTACGAAAAGGATTCATCAAGAGGATAGCAGATAGAAAGTCAAGTACTTTAATTTCTGTCATTACTCCACTGGTGAGACAAAGATCTATTATACACACAGATCAGTGGAAAGGTTATAACTCCTTGTCATCTCCTGAACATAATCACCACAGAGTCAACTATTCTAACGATTTTGTGAATCCCATTACTGGGACCCACACCAATCTTATCGAAGGCTCTTGAAGAAGGTTAAAAAGCAGGATTAGAGCCATTACTGGATCTCAAAGCGATGTCATTTATAGTCATCTGGATGAATGTGTGGTACAGAATGTGGTGTAACTTCTCCATTGAGATTCCAATATTAAACTGGGATGTCTTTTATCACATGTCAGAAAAAGGTACCCTATGTAACAGTTTTATGCATTTTTTTCATATATATATATATATATATATATATATATATATATATATATATATATATTAGATATCCAAAAATGCCTCCTTCATATGATTGGTGCATTCAGGGTCATTCACCGATTAGTAGTCAGTGGTGCTTATAGTTTAACTTTGTCCATTGGAGATTGTAAGTGAACAAAACCTAAATATTTATATGATCTCATATAATACGCTGAAATATGACATTCATATGACACGAATCAACTGTAATATTAAAAGAATACATACTTTTAAAATGCAATACAAACAGCAGACGAAGATTCTTCCAGCTAATACGCCTTGATATTTCCAATTAAATTCCATTAAAAAATATATCCAAAGTATTCCAGAGGGTATATGTCTCAAAAGTAGAAATATATGCTCTAGCATACTCAAAAATGAACCCTGAGAAGAAAAAGAAAAAGGAAAATTTCCATGAAAACGATTTACAGCATGTGTATGAAAGTTTGGCGTGTAATTAAAATAAAAACTTAAAAAGGAAAGCTAAAACGCATGCAAGTGAAGTCAATAAACGCAAACTGTAAATTACATGGATATTGGAAGTGTACTGTGGTAATCAGAGGCTCAATTAGTGATGAACAAAACATGTTCAGGAGCTAAGACATTACATTTAACAGCACATGTTTGCGAAACATTTCTACCAACGTAGAAAAAATGTTGGCTGTTACAAACATAACTACCTTTTGATGATATTAGATGGTTGGAGCCAATCGGCCACAGGAAGCCTTGGACCTAGGTTTCGTGCTAGCTGGCACCCGTCAGCAAGGCGTATCTGCAACCTTGAAGGAAGGAACTCATGTCCCTTCTGAGATTCGAACCTGCGTCACCCAGTGCTGCAATCACTGGTGGCAACGTTGCAAACCTGACTGGTAGAATTCAGTCTGCACCAAACAAAGGACTAGAACTTGTGCGACTTGAACTGCCGCACATATGTGCAAAGTTCTATGTCAAAAACCGACCGACCGACCGAGACATCACGCTAGTTACTAATGTTCAATCAAAATAACTACCTTTTATTTCCGAAAGACACATTTGTACATGTATCGTCATACATACATACACACATCGAATCACGACGAACATGCAAATAACGAACATACACGTACACAGATAAGAAATTGTATGGCACAGAATACGTTTATACAACAGTAAACATTTCCATCTCTATTACCTACGTAAATCTAGTAAAACAGTGAGTGTTGTTGAAATGTCAGAGGTTTATCAAACCTTATCAAAAACCAGTAACCAGGTGTTAATTCCAGAAGAATTTAAAAAGCGAACATGATTACGCCACTGATCTGTTGACAAATTCCGCTTATAAAGTCACGGAATTCACCTTCCAGTATGACTTTGGAAACGAAACACAACAAAATTAGTTTCTACCAAGTAAACCGATGTCGCTTATGCATGTAACAGGCTGAAATATGTCTTAACTGTGGTGCAATACAGGCTGAAAGAATTATCCAAACTTCCCTGAATACATCCGAGTAGTTTGATGTGCATACTTACAGTGGATTTCCACTGAAATACAAACATTGAGCAAACAAGACCTACGGTTCTTTGCTTAACATGATCAGATGAGACCGTGCAGTGAGAACTGCTAACTTGCAGAATAAGCGTTGTGCATCACAATAACTAATTATGTCATGAATTTGTATGCGATTCGATATGGATGCAACTGCACTGATATAGGACCACAAATATTCTAGTACGTAGTTCAGGGGATAAATCCTTTCCTTAGCAAACAATATAGACGTCAATTAAATTGGAAAAACTGAAACCCTTCGTCTGAAGACAGCATGCGTAATGAGGATAATGTGGCAATCATCAAAATTAAAAACATCCCTGATGCATGTGGTTGTGATGATGTTAACATAACGTGGTATAGAACATCTCTTACTATTTTTATATTGAACTGCGAAACACTCATGAATACTTTTTTAAATTCAATGTTGGGTAGAATTGACTTCTTTAAATGCACAAATGTTTGCGGCCCTTGAAATAAGTGCTTTATTCACTACCATCACGTCATGAGTACTCCTAAGAAAATGAAAGGGCACTGGTGACCAGATTACAGCATATTGACTGTCTGTTTACGAAAGTAGTTAATCTCGGGTTTTACACATGAACTCAAAGATTCTAAAATGGTCTGCAAATCTGTTTCCCTTAACTATCATAAGTGGAATGAGGTCCAGTTGTCTTTCGGATCAGACTTTTGACAAAAAATAGAGGTTGGTTCCCTATATGTGTCAGTTTTAGAGTTCGGGACCTTGGTCCTGATAAAAATAATGATAAAGAAAAAGTAGTAAGAATTCTGAAAATATGATATGACTTTTCATCTAAGTCAGAAACAAGAATACTGGCAACAGTAAAGTATAGACACCAACTTCAGACGACCTTGAAACAGTTAATCAGATTCTTCGAGGTGAAAAGTGGTACTTAATTTACAAAGAAGTGTATCTAAGATATATGTAATAAAAATGAATCATATAGGGTATATATATCTCTAATATGCTGCGAAAACTGGTCCCAGATGCTCATAGAAGTGGTTATAGACATATCAAACCAATGTATTCTCTATTTCTCCAGCTGTAGCAGATAATGGTTGCATATACGCAATATATTACTAAGGGAGGGCTTTGATTTCGAGAAGAAAGTGTCTAAAAAAATCAGCAGTTATGTACGACTTACCAACTTATACAAACTTCCTCATATAAAGTGGTTGCATCTAAGTGTATAACCATCAATGGCCCGGCAATACTTTTCCAGAGTTATTATCCCTCCACATATGCATGTTTTGTTCCTCCCTATCAACACATTATCTACAGAGAAGTCAAAAACCAAATCTAGGAGACACTATCAAAAAGAGGATTATGACTAGGAACCATTTGTAATGCTGAGCTAACTGATTGGTCAAATCAAGGTCATTTAACTTTGGTGTCTATTGTTTACTCTTGCCAAGATTACTAACTGGAACCTATTTGCGAAATACATTCATCGGGATAACTGAAGTAAGTAGCAAAGTCGGAAATAAAATTGCACACAATAAAAAATAAACGAAAGATACACCTTACTTACCATTGTGTAGCAATCAACTGTTCTAGACAAGAAAAACAGAGCAGTGCTTTTGATAAAAACCAGCAGTAATTTCATTGAGCAGTCGCATATTAATGCACACCAAAGAACTAATGATAAGCTTGAAAATGAGCTGGAAGTTTGAGCTAAGAGACTAAATACCACAATCAAGAATAGGTAAGCTTACATATCATATAAACCCTGATGCCATAAAGAGTATTGTACTAGTATCACGTGTGAAAGTGATATGAGTGAGTAAAGAAAGCATATCTTACGATATGAAGAATCAGAGAAACCTAAAACAATGATGACAATATTAATTCTAGCCTCAGCCAACATAGGCTCGAAGAAACTTTGGAGCATTCTAAGCACAGAAGGCTATATCAAGAAGAAATCTGATATTTCCTTAAGAGCATAGACTGCCACAAAGACCTCGAGTGCTGGCTGAGAGATATTGAAATTACTTCTTTGTGTTTGAGATCCCATGAAAATGACTGAAATGCACACCCAAAAGGCTAGAACAACATCTAAGCACAACAATTATATAAAATGACTTCTTTTACTTTTAAAATATTCGCCATATAACTTTATGGTTATTATCAGGAAAAAACATAGATGACAGATATTCCGGAACGAAAGTAACGAACTTTTCTTCTCCGGTTTCCGTTCCGCAGAACAATCATGAGAAGTTGAGACCGAAGTTAAAACGTCAGGCATTTCACATCCCCGTGTTTTAAAATCTCAAACAAAGAACCTCCGTAGAAGACAAGTTTGTATATTGCGCCAACATCCAATATCGCTTTTACGTGCTAATGTTGAGTAAGTTGATTAATGTGTACACACTTCCTGGTTCTAAGATAAAGATTCCGTGAAGTACGTTTCGCTACTTGATCGTCATGGCTTTGATTGACTCCGAAGGGAGTGGTAAGAGGTCTGGTTAGAAGTGGTTTACAGTATGCAGTGTGTTAAGATCGTGTCGCTGTTGTAAATGCAGTTGACCCTTTTAACCATTAGTTGTCCGTTGTGATCGAAAAGGGATATAATTATGACAGATGCAATAAGTGCATATTATAAGAATTAAAAAAGATAAACATAAAAGCTGATACATAAAGAAATTTATAAATTAGGAATAAATAAAAATACACAAATTAACCAAATTAATAGGAAGAGTAGTCAGAAGAGTGAAACAAGGCAGAATAGTCAGTAGCATGAGACGGGTTGAGGTGATACCAATTGTTCTCTTGTGGGGCATTTTAGCTTTATAAACTCTATATTGGTAATCATTTTAATTTTCACTGCACTTTCTATATATTTATATATCTGTGTACTTGTATACTCACACAATACTCATGTCTTCACCCACCCGTCCACCTGCTGCACCTGAGACTGACGAGACACAAGATTCAACAATCAATGCAATAGTCGCCCTGCGTCTACCTCCATCTGGTTTCAGTGAGCCTCAGATTTGATTCGCCATCATTGAACCCTTTTTTTGCTGTCCAAGGTATTAAGTCACAGATTGCAAAGTATGGATGTGTCTTAGCTGCACTTTCCACAGAGGATCTCGAAGACACTAGTGATTTAATCGACAGCACCCCTGCAGACCACCGATATGATCGACTCAAAGCAGTTCTCATCCAAAGAAGGAGTGTTTCTGATGGGAAACGGATCCAGCAGTTACTCAATGCATGTGAGTTAGGCTCACGGACGCCATCTCGGCTTCTCAGGCAAATACGTCAACTGCTTAACCCACTCAACGTTGATGGAGTGGCCTTACGACAAATGTGGTTGTAGCGGCTACCACAGCATATCCAGCAGGTTTTAACTACCTCTTCCAAATCCGTTGACCTAGGTGCACTGAGTGACCTTGAAGACCTTGACATCTGTATCTACAACGTATCAACAAGTCATGGGCTACCAGTTCAGGTTGCGTCTGCTGCGGACCCACCTATGTTATCAGTGATTTCATGCACGAGGTAGTAGATCACAATTCAGGTCAAGGCAACGTTGACTACCTTTCTCAAGACAGCGGACCATAACATCTCCTAATACTCGTAATATATGCTGGTACCATAGAAAGTTTGGAAACAGAGGTATTCGTTGTTTAAATTCAAGCACTTTCAGCAGTAATCGGCTCAGGGAAACTCCCCAGCCAGACAGTGATGGCGATGGCTGTTACAGGCAATCATTCAAGCCACCTTTTCTACGTGAGGGATAAAACTACAGGCACATTATTTCTGGTAGATACAGGAGACGAAGTTAGTGTAATATCCCCTTCACTCTCCAGGCAGCCTTCTAGCACAGCTGGCAAACTTTCACTTCGAGCAGCTAACCAAACTGGCATACGGACTTACGGTGGACAATCACTTATTTTGGATCTTGGTTTATGCCATCGTTTTACATGGATTTTCATAGTAGCTGACGTTCGTCATGCCAAACTAGGTGATGATTTCTTAAGTAATTTCAATCTGTTGGTTAATGTCCACTACTGTGACCTATGTATTTGACCTAACAATCATTGCAGGGGCATTCAGACTAGATGAACATAAAAACCTAGCAAAATCTAGATTGTTTGACCCGAAAAAGATAAGAAATCTAGAGAAGAGTTCAGCTATACTACTACATGCAATCACACAGCCATACAATAGGATGGATGGGATAAGATGACAGTTTTAAAATCTAATGTCACAGGGTAGGGGGAGAGATTGATAACGGAAGCTTTGTTTATCGAATCAGGTGAGTAAAATACGTGTAATAAGAATGATTCAACAGCTGTCCCAGATATCGGGAAAATTCTTCTACCCCTACGACAAATAAGAGAAGACAAAGAAAACTATAAAACTCAAGTTTCGAAGTCATGTGATTACAACTGATATGATTATGAACAATAAATTTGTTCGAAACCTTGTCATCCAGTAAATAATACTGTTTCACTGTGTGATACATCTAATAAACAAACTAATTTGGAATTACTTACTACTACAGTGCAAAAGTTTTACATATATATTAAGCTGCACACTTCTTACAGCACTTCATGGACCAAGTCACTCAGGGCCTTGATTTTATGTTCATTTATATCGATGATGTACTAATTGCTAGCAAGTCGAAAGAGGAATATGGGGATCACCTCAGAACTTTATTACAGCGTTTTAAACAATATAGTGTCTCTTTAAACCCTAAGAAGTGCATTTTCGGTGCCTCTTCTATTCAATTTCTGGGACATTACACAACCGCAGATGGCATCAGGCCTACCAAAGGAAAGATAGATATAATCAAAAGCTTCCCTCAACCGGACTCATTGAAGAAAGTCCGACAATTTTTGGGGATTTTAAATTTCTATCGACGTTTTATTCCCTCGTGTGCCTCCATCGTCCAGCTTTCAACTGATCTCCTCAGTGGTGATCCTAAAGAATTCCAGTGGTCAGCTCAAGCACATGAATCTTTCTGTAACGCCAAAGACGCTTTGTCCAAAATCTCTATGCTGGCTCACATCAACCTCGTAGCATCTCTCAACCTGTGCACCGGTGCCTCCCAATAATCAGTGGAGGGAGTATTACAACAGAAGATGAATGGTGCAGTCACTCAACTTGCTTTCTTTTCCCGCGCGCGCTTCATGTAGGACGTCACAATCTCTGCAAATAACGTGGAAATAGTTTTTCCCACTCTGGAATATCGTGGTCTATAATTGACTAGTGTACAATTATAACTGATATTGGTTGCACCTTCCGTAGCTAAATATCCAAGTTTATCACCTCCAGAATACCGTTTGGATCCAGTCAAATTAGTGTGAATAAAGAGCAATCTATCGCAAAAGAAGTATAGAGAAGTCCTAAGTTTTGTGGCCTATAATTACCACAGTTGAATCGTTTGATATTGGTTTATTTTTAGTTTGTATTTTATACATTCACACCCGTTTATCGTTGCTTTATCTATTTAGATAATATAATAGCATTTCACGCACTTCTATCAATTTTGATAAATTGATTTAATCTCTACCTCCATAATGGTCAAACTTGTTAAACGAGTTAGTACTCTTAAGAGACTAGCATCAAATAGTCAGCAGCTCACTAAAAACATTAGTGCTGACGACGAATTTGCACTAAGATCAATCGATACACCGAGAGTTATAGTACCAGACCTAATGGAAGAACTAGTTGATAATGTAGCCCGTAACACTAGTGATTCACAGATCATTCAGATATCCATATCAGACCTGCAGGATAAATTTGAAAGTATCACTCCTTTCATCCAACTTTGTGATCCATCACAAGAAATTTGCTTGGGTTCACTTCTCAAATCTGAGCGCCTGCTAGACTTTTTGACTGCAGAGGCTGTAAAGAGGGTGATGTCCTCATATAATGTCTTAGGATATAACATACCAGACAATGTCCTTATTGTCAAACTTAAAGCAGTCTGTCTACAGACGTGCAACATTTCACTATCTGACTGCCAGGTTCTGCGTCTTCGTAAGAAATCTGCAAACCACCCATGCCCTGTTTTCTTCAAATTTAAATCTGTTGACCTAGTTGAGAAATTTTTGCAGTCTGGTAAAATTCTCGGCTCCTCAACACCCTACACCAATATCAGGATTGCACCTGATTTAACTCCTTGCCAAAGATGATGCCGCACAGGTAAACTAAATGAAGATAACTCCAATAAGACAACCGTTGTTAATAATTCCCTCGTTGTGTTGCCTAGTGACCAAGAGCACCAGATAATATCGCATGCACAAACTAACAGTAGTCAAGTAACTGTTGAAGACTCAGCTCTAAATACTGAAATCGCAGACATAGAAATTTCAACAGATCATAGTATTGACGTGCATCCCTTGCACACTGATACGAATGCCAAACCCTCGAAAACGTCTAAGCTGAATTCAGTCGTATACTCTGAATCTCTCCAGAAGTCATATACCACACAACCTTGTAGCCCGGCTACTGTGAAGCAGCAAACACATGTGGCCACCCAGGTTGGCGTAAATTCAAGGCGATATGATAAACGTCCTATTTCCGTAAGGAACACCAAAAGAACTGTTGATACTATTCAACAGAAATCCAGTTTATCAGGTAAACCTACTAGTCACCAACAGCCCAAATTACACAAGCCGACTAATACGGAAAAACCTAATCCAAACGCCAGATCCGGAACACTAAAGCCCACAAGTACGAAAGTTTCAAAAGGGTCACCGGCTCATTCTACTGATGGACAGTCATCTAAACTTAGTCATGTTACTCAAGTTAGACATAATTCACATACCATAGGAGCTTACTCATTTCCGACTACCACTGCCAGTCCCATGACAACAAAGAACAATCGTCACATATCTCCCCACTTCGAAAACACGTAGTTGCTCAGCCCCTCACGAATGCACCCTCAACTATGATGTGCAGGAAAAACCAGTCTGGGAATACAGACGTTAGGTCAAAAACACGTATAGTGTCCTGTCATACTTCTCATGCTTACAGTAGGGGGCACATGCCAATTGCAGTACAATGCGCATTATGGCCTAGGACCAGACACCGGGGCCTAAATCATATGCACATAACAACACGCCGATCACACATTTCGGTTATAACTATGCAGATAACACGGCTCTAGCTAACTCATATAACCAAAATTTTCTCCAGCGACAACTGGCAGAAACTCCAGGGATCATGCACGTAGCACGCATGATATCAGACCAATTCCTTGCTGGTATAGCGAACACCTTACAGCAGGGAAACTACTTCTTCCCCGGCAGATAGCAAACACCTTATACACACCTAATACCAACAGTAATACTGATTTCCCGCGGCACATTCAACG